TATATATTTAATATGTAATAATTTAAAATTAGGAATTTAATATCCATTTCCTCCTTTCAGTTTGATCGGCATTTCTGCCACATTCAATATGGCGGACGCTCCGACGTACCGCTGCAGCGGGTCAGCCCACTCAACGAGGTGTCTAAAAAGGCCTCACCAGTTCTCTGTTGTGAACGCCCTGGCAGATGTCAGTAGCCAATCAGTGATGAAGAAAGGTCAGGGGAGCTTTGCTATGAAACAATGATGAATGATAGTTTGACATGTGTTTAATAGGTTAACTCAAAAACTGCAGATCTGACTCCAAATCCGCCCAAATTATCCCCACCTGCCCAAAGCAATTTTTACCCACAACATCAGAATGAAAACCACCCGATTGGCGGTAAACTGCCCAATCTGGCAACGCTGTTTCAAAAGCAGAGTTTGTTGGGGAAAGAGATATTTGCATGGCTGTGGTGTGTGAGCATAATAGATGGGGAAGTTGGATCTTTTTGCATGTGAATGCTGCACACTCAGAGGATTTCTGTGGCTTGGAAACACCATTACTCTGTCACATTTTCTATTTTTAAAAGTGTGTTTCTCCATTGTGGTTTATTTATGTTTTTTTTTAATTGATGAATAACTCAGTCTTTTTTTAGTGTACGGCTTCCATATTGCTGAAACAAGCAGGCATTTGAAAGATGAACCTCCTAAAAGTTCAGCTTTTAAGCAATTTCTATCTGAAAGAGAAAGTGACTTCCATTATTCAGTTTCTTGACGTAATCATTTATTTACTACCGAATCAACAAAACTCCAGTGAAAGTAACGCGTTATTGTCTTAGAGTAACAAGAATCTGTTTTTATTTTTTACAAATTTAATTTTTCCTAAGAAATATTGCAGCACGGTTCAACTTTGCAACCAGTGAATGAAGCAGGACACGCTGAGGAAATGAGTGAGCTGTTCAGATGTTCTCACCTCTGCTGATGTGTGTCTTAAAAGATACTGAGTATGTTAGAAAAAAGGAAGAAAGTCACATTTGTCTTGCTTAATAAAACTTCTGAATCATTGTGCACAACTTAATTTATTTAGCAACAAAGTTGTGATCATTGGTTGTAGAAATTGCATCCTCCACTACTGGACAAGATGTGTTTCAGTTATATGGTTTTAGTAAAATGTCTGCACAAAATGAGCCAAAATCTGTTATTGTTCTTAGAATTATGTGTGCTTCATCTTTAGAGCTAAAGAGGAGGCGAGCCACCAAGCTTGTTATGAATGGAACAAAGTTAAAAACGTTGTTTCTCTGGTGGCGTGAGTGGCCAATGGTCCATGTGCTGTGGGTCGTTTCTACAACTATGAAGACAGAATAATGTTGTTGTTTTTTAATCTCTGAAAAAGTGGCACTTGTTTTATAAAAAGGCAGACCACAATCTAAACAGAATACTGCAGTATCCATTTGAAGTAAACATTTGCATTTTTGCTGTCTAGTTTAAACATCTGCTCAACAAATTTGGGGTAAAATAAAAATACAACCCAGAAGAGTCCACAACCGGTATCTAACAAATATGAAAAAGGTTTAATCAGTTTCTTAATACTTACACAGTTGTTAAATATAATCAAACATTATGGCAACTCATATTTATCCCTATTCTACAATATAATGAAGTCTCTCAGTCCCACATTTGCTTTGTTTCATGCGATTTTTTTTTTATAATGGTATATTTTTTAACTCTTTTAATCAAAGCTGATTTTAATTTGGGCTTTGTTCGTTGCCACACATAATAAAATGGGAACAAAATTCTGTTTCGCTTTATTTTAAACATCTAAATTCATAAACTAGAAGCCGTGTCCTTATTCTTCTGTTGTTTGAATTGACAGGTTTCAAACGAGGAGCAGATCCCGGCATGCCTGAACCGACTGTCCTGAGGTGAGGACAAACAACTCGCTCTGACATCAGCGGTGTTCAGCTTAACAGATTTTGATTTGGGTTTTAGTCACAGTCTTAAAATGTAATTTTGTTTGAGTCATCATCTAACGAACTTGAATATAAAGTCAAGTATCTCGTCATTTTTAGAAATCAACAGTAAGATCTACAAACATCGTTTTTTCTTGACATCCAACGTAAAAAGTTCACGTCTCTTTCTGTCCTCTCAGGTATTAACGTTATTTTGCTTTAGTTTTATGTGTTGCTGCATTAAAACTGGTTATGTCTTCCCTGAGACAAGTCACAAGTGTGCATCATTTAATGCTGCCTAACCTTTTACGGGTTAAAGAAGGAAAAATCCTCCTTGTTAGAGATAATATAAATTTATTCGAAGCAAACAAAATAATACAAATATGAAACAACAATTTAGTGGTAAATAAACACAACTGAATTGTTTCGTAAGAGCACAGAGATGTTCCTCCTTGCTCTTTGCAGACACTGGTTAGACTCATTTAATCTACTGCAGTGCACGTATAATTGAAGATGGGCCAATTTGAGAAAGTGTTTTATTTTCTATATTATTTTTTATATTTGGTGTGGTGTTTAGACCTGGACGTGGTTATTTGTCAGAAGAGTGCTCTCTGCGGCCCTTGAGACAGATTTGAGACCCCCTGATTGTTTTGAGAGAGAAAAATTGTTTCACATATTTTTTGAACCTGTTCAAGCAAACGAGACGTGATCCTCTGGAGCTCCACTGAGGAAGCTGGGCACCATCACAAAGGTTGCAAGACATTCTGGAGACTCCCTCATAAATACAGTTCGCCTGCTATGGCAGCCCAGTGAGAGATCACTTTAAGGGCCAAAAGGCGGCCATATTGTTTCTGTAGAGGATCAACAACAGGGACATCATTCAGACCTCTAATGAATTAGTTAATGTTCAGCTCCATTATGCAAATTGAATTAAAAGAATTTAAAAGTAGTCCCTCGTTTATTGCGGAATTGTGTTCCGGAATCATCCTGTTGGCTTCTGGGTAATGTAGTCCTTTTGACTGGTGATAGTGTAGGCTTATTGGGACTACAAAATGGCAGCACCTGTCCACAGTTTTTTTTTTTTCCTGTATCCCGTACTGTTCCAATCACGTGAGTAATATTAATGTCGACAATCGTGTGTCGTGTACAATCTTACTTTGAAAAACCACGAAGTAGCGAGGGACTACTGCATTTGTGGAAAGCATTCACGGGAGGACTTAAACAAGAATTTAACAAGATTAACACTTAAAAACAATTATTTGTTTGCTTGAAATTATAGTAAAGGTGTGTCTCAGTCTAACATTTGCTTAATAAAAGGACTTTGAATCAGCTGTATTTTAAAACCCGATTCGCGTAAGCGTGCACGCGCAGAGGGACGAGCCGCTGTTCATTTCTTCATAATTTAACAAGATAAACAACTAAAAACAATTATATGTTTGCTCAATTTTAAAGTCACGGTGTGTCTCAGTCTAACATTTGCTTAATAAAAGGACTTTGACGATCAAATCAACTGAATTTCCAAAGTATTTGCTGCCTCGGTGCTCTGGGATCACGCAGACAGGAAAAAAGGAAGAAGGAACGCCGCTCATTCCTTCGAAATTTAACAAGAAAAGCACCTAAAACAATTATTTGTTTGCTTGAAATTATAGCAAAGTGTCTCAATTGATTTTTTTTTTTAAATAAATGCACTTTGATGTCAAATTAGCTGCATTTCGCCAGGGCGTTGCTGCAAAATGAAGCTGAGGTTACTCCAAGCAGCGAGCAGAACGAAGGTGGGGGAATGTGGCAAGCCAATTGTGTCATTAATAACTGGTGAAGATTGTAAATCATCCAGGACATGGTCAATTCAAAAAAGTTCAAGACAAAAACAATAAAGTATAATAAAGTCCTTTTGTTTTTGTCTTGAACTTTTTTGAATTTGTCATTATAGCCACGTTTACCTATTACGTGATACAACGGCATGCCCTACTGCTGCTACTACCACTACTCTGCTGCCCTCAAGTGGCTGAAAGTGGTACTGCTCTTTGAAAACTGTCAAATCTCAGCCAAAAATTGGTTCATAAATATGGAAAAAATCCATAAATACGTTGCTTCGGCCTATAAGTCGCAGGGCATTAAAATTATGCAAAAAAATGCGACTTATAGGCTGAAAAATACAGTATTCAGGAGATAAAACTTGGTAGTAAGTAATTTTTTTAGTTCTAACATCTTTTTTTTGTTTGTTTTTCTAGCTTGCTATGGGGTTGAGGACCATCTTCACGCAGCCACTCTCCTCCTTCAGGATCATCTGACATGTCTTAGGAAAAAACAGACAATTTCTCACTTTTCTGTCTAACTCATTCAGCCCGGTGTCTGATATATAAAGAACTGATGGTATATAATGTAACAAACACAGAGAGCGAGGGTGCTCAGGGCATCTGTGTCCCTGAAACATGTTTTATTTTTTTTCATGGATTTTTGATGTTCGGTTTAGATATATGGTCCGGTTCATGTTTGTCTTATGATTTCTAATTTAAAATTCCTGACAATAAAAGCAGAAGAAGAATGATACTGCTGTCTGGTTTAATGTAAGAAACCAGTCAAAGTGTTTGGCTCACAGTCGGTGCCACAAGTAACAGAATTTGTTGTCAGTCCTGAAATGTGTGGCTGATTTAAAAAAAGACACGTGCACAGTATTTATGCAAATACATATACGTTTATTTCAGCACTTATCAAAAGTCATTGTATCAAAAAATGTAAAAAAAAAAAAGTTAAACAATTAAAAAAATAAAGATAGAAAAGTAACAGCCTTTTTTAAGTTGCAAACAGCTGCTCAAGTAGCATCAAAATCACTTTAAATTATATTTAGTTAATTCACCATACAATCATGACTTCTCTAATAAATAACAAATGGGTATAAATAGATTAAATAACTCTGACAGCACGGATACTTTTCCTGAGCGGAACAAACGGCGCCTAACGTTTCCCTGAGGTATTCCTTCATTAGAAGCGTCTAATCTCACGTCTCTTTACTAATTTGTGCTGCCGGTGTTGGCGGCTTGTCTTTTGGGCGTCTCCCATCTGCGAATCGACCGTTTGCCATCGATGAGGAAGAAGCGGAGGGAGGACAGGACGCTGTGCGCCGTCATCTTCCGAGCGTAAGTGTCCGGGTTGTCGAGCTCCTTCAGCAGCTGCTCCTTCTGGCTGCTGGTCAGCGCCTTGACTCGCTCGCTCTTTCTCATCTGAGGGCGAGAGAGTACAACGATGGATCAGTGCCAACAAGAGACAACACCTGCTGAAGTTCATGGAAGGACTGCCATTTTTTAAAACTGGTGTCTTCCAAAGGCCTCAGAATGCAGAGAGAGCACATCATCTTCCAGTTTAACTTTTATATTCTTGAAGATTTTATTACAAAGTGGACAATTAGGGTGACTTGATGAAGACCCACCTTTGCTTTGATCTGTGTAATGAGCAGCGGGACGCTCGCCTCGATCTCAGCCAGCATGGAGCAGTTGGGGTACTCCTTCTCCACGTGTTTCAGGAGAACCGTGTAGTTGAGCAGACCCTCGGCCAGCCTCTGGAGACAAGCCTCCTGATCAGAGCAGAGACCCTCAGAATTAAAACCAGTCGTCCACTTTGTCCCATCGATACCAGGACGAAGAGTTAAAGCTTTTTAAATGTACCTTGGTGAAGTTGGAGTCGGGGCATTTAACGGGGAACGATGGGCGCTTGTTGTCCAGAGAGATGTAGTCGACGTTGCCTTGAAATTCTTCTTCAAACTGATTAAAGAAGAAAATATCACATGAAACTGATGCCAGGTTTGAATTTAAGGCCTAATTTAACTAAAGCCATCAAATGAAGAGCTGTGTAAGTCAAAACCTGGAACTATGCACGATTTTATGTGAAATCAAAACTTGTTCCAGACATTCATATATTAAGTATTAAATTATATAAAATAGTAAATAAATTATTATATGTTATTTATGATTAATCTCAGCTGCTATTACATCAAATTTCAGGAAAATATCTGTAAAATAATTACTACAGTATTGCCCATTTTCGAGTTTTCTGACATATATTGTTTGTGGCAGCCATCTTGAATTGGATTACCTCAAATCAGCTCGAAACGTAAATCCAATGATTATTTCCTGAAATTTTCATTGAAACCCAGCGATTCACGAGATATTTTGCTAACAGATAAACCGGTTTGATTCCAGCAGTTACTGAAGCTTAAAGAAAGGTCTCACCCTCTTGGAGTGTGTGATGGGAATGACTCTCAGCTACTACCACACCACATTTAAGGAAAATGTGATATTGAGTTTCAGCCACTTTAATGTTTTTTAAAACTGTGACATCTCAAACTGAGTTGACCCCAAAAGTGAATTTGTAGATGTTCATCCAGTTAATGTTTTCTGAGAGTTCTGTTAAAATCCGTCCAATAGTTCATGAGATATTTTGCTAACAAAATAATATTCCTCACCTCTTTCTCGTGGCGTTTGGTCGGCGCAATGACCTGCTCCCAAATGTTGAAAATGTTCAAAGTTCCCATCAGGTCAGGGGTCTCCTCCCCCTCCTCACCTGAGGTCTCCCCACCTGTGGGCTCCTCCAGCGGCGCTCCAGAGGCGCACAGCTGCAGCGCGGCGAGCGTCACCGCAGCCAGAAGCATGCGCAGAGCTGAGCGTGAATGAGAGGATGAATTAGAGAAGAGACCAAAAGGGAAGTGGCGCTTCATAGAGGAAACACCGCGTGACTTACTGAGTTTGGAGGACATGACGCTGCTGGGAGGTCTGAGGTTCCTCTGATGCTCGGGGGCAGGAAGAGTCTGGAGGACTTGGCTCGTCTCGGAGGGGCCTCCTCATTTTATACACGGCCAAGGGATTTCCCAACCCTCAGGGTTCCCTCTTACGTCATCCATCCGGTCAGTGCAGGTCATCTGGAGGTTTCCTCTGCATCTGTCCATCTTCAAACAACTTTCTCTTTATTTTCATTTTTAACAACTTTTGATCATAGTTGTAAGAATAGATTTATGAATGAGTGACCAAAATTGGAATAATATACGCTTTAAATATAATAATAATATATATATATATTCAACTTTCTCCATCCATCCATTATCTTTTACCCGCTTCTTCCATTTTGGGTCACGGGGGTCGCCGGTGCCCATGTCCAGCAATCACTGTGCGAGGGACGGGGTACACCCTGGACGGGTCGCAAGTCCATCACAGGGCCACATAGAATATATAACTTTATATATAATAATAATAATATATATATAACTTTATATATAATAATAATTTACACCAAATCAGCTGCAGAAGTGAGTAAACTCCCTCAGCTATTTTCAGCCCCTTCATTAAAAAAGGGAACTCCACTTGAACCCAAATTTGTGGCTGAATGTCTAAATACACGTTCTTCCCCTCCGAAAACTCATGAGATAAGAAGTTAATAAAGAGTTTTTAATTTTAATTCATCCAACTTATCGGCCGCCACAGAAAGGCAAAATAGGGGCAATAATGTTTTTTTTGTTTGTTTTTAATTGATCTGTTGTGTGTGTCTGCAAAATATCTCAGGAACAAGTGGACACATTTTAATAAAACTTGCATAAAGTAATTATTTTATACATCTATGACTGAATAAGCTTTGGAGCCTGATTCAAGATGGCAGCCACAGCCAATTTACCTTAAAAACACATAAAAGGCCACAACGCCGTCACTTTTACTGATACTGACCCCACAACTGGTAAGAGCTGAGACTGATTATCATAATATACTTTCAGCTCTAACAAATTGCTCAAAATCTTTGTTTTAATTTTTGACACTAACTATTTGCAGTTAGAATTTGTCTGTTAGCAAAATATCTTATTAACCACTGGACTGATCTTAATGAAACTTTCAGAAAATAATCTTTGCATGTGCACATCCGATTACTGCTTTGATGTCACGTGAGATGACAAATGAAGGTTTGAGAAAAACAGCTATACAACTCATTTCTCAACACAAGATGATACATCTAAAACATGAAAGGTGGCGGGCTAAATGCATCAGCTGGAGAAGAGTCAAAGTATAATTTTGATCAGTTTGGACACAAAAACATTACCTTTTTTTAAAGATTTGCATGTTTATATTGACACGTCGTGGTATACCTTCTCTGTTTTCATTTGGAAATAGTGGACTTCCTTTTTTCACTATGAATAGCCCCAAACAGCTGAACATGTATGGAGTGTTTCCCCATCTTAAAAAAAACGTTTTGTGGTTCCCAGCTATTTTTTAAATACATTATGAGACATATCCTAATGCCAAAAAGAGACAGTGTGTGCAGTTTTATCAAAAGAATAAATATTCCCTAAAAATGCAAATTTTAACCCAAAAATTCAGACCGAATAAAATTATCATGATAAATTTAAATCTTTAATGTTTAACATGTTCAATTTGAACAACACAAACGTGAAACTGATAGGATTATCATAATGTCTGAACATTCATATTGATATTTAGACATGACAGTAATTATAATAATACAAAATACTCTCAAACATCTTGAGCAACAAGACGCCTGAAATGTTAGCAAAATAACATTTAGGTGTTTACTGTTCTATATAGACAGTAAATAAGTGCCCATTTAACTAAATAACATTTTGTTAGCATGTTTTAAACAAAATTATGTTTAAAAATTCAACAAAGTCTTTATTTTTGTAATCAAATTAAAAGACTTTTACTAAAAACATGAAATTTAACATCTGATATATTCCCAATTAAAAACTAAATGTCTGCACAGTTCTGCAACATTTAAACTCAAACAAGACATTTCTCCCAAATAATAATATCAAATAAAAATTTTCTAGATCCACAAAACCTGTTTGATGATTGAAATAAAAAAAATTAAACAAGAACAATATGATAAGTTTTATATAAATACTGTAATTTCCGGACTATTGAGCGCACCTGAATAAAATCCGCGCCCACTCAATTAAAAAAAAAAGTGTACATATACAGGCCGCACTTGTCTATACGCCACGGGTTTCCATGTTGTACCATGAGATATTTACACAGAATAAAAAAAAACAACCCTTTTTTAATTAAACATGTACCATAACATACACAAATACATAAAGTAAATGTTTAATTTTCAGAACAATATCTGTAAAACGGCTGGTTAAAAAAATACAAAAAAACATTAACCTAGTTTGGTAATTTCATTGGTCAGATTTTTTTAACCTTTTATTTATGAATGTAGTCTCGAGCCACAAGGACCCACGTGTATTGGGCAGCTATGTGAGCACCCGGGTGTGATGATGATAAACGTTTTGACGGCATGAAGCTCGTTAGCCCGTCCAAAAAAAAATAATAAAATCCATAAATTATCCACAGCACTGTATAAACTGTGAGGTTCAAAACGTGTGAAAAAAGTAATGGCTCATAGTCCGGAAATTACGATATGTACATAAAAATGAGTTTACTACATTTTGAATTTAAAGAGCTAAAATACACTGTTAACATTTATAGATATTTATACATTTCGGGGCAAAATAAATGACCAAACATTAATAAACATTTTGTGCAAAACTCATATGACACAATTTAACCATTAAATAGTGGAGGCCTAAATGTGTTTTTTTTTTTGTGTTTTGTTTTTTTTGACATTTGTGGAAAATCCACTTTGAAACCCTAAAATACGTTTGAATCCAGTAATTATGTAGGAAAAATATGAATAATAATGGACTGTTGTTGGTTTTTTAAACTTTACTGAATTTTATAAAGGAAAATAAAGTAACTAATGGTGTTTTTCTACTGTCATTTACTTGAAATCTTTATGGAAAACAAAACTTGACTTCTAAGTTTCAATGCTCTCGAAACAACTTGACCTTATTTTGAAAAAAAAAAAAAACTTGATTCCAGTAACTTGTGATGTAATGTGTTTGTAAAAGTGCACTTTCTATTTTTGTCTTTTCTCAACAGCTTGCTCTCAACTATTTCAGAAAAAGACCGCACGGTGTGGCTGCAAGGTAAACGCAACCTTTATTTATACAGGTTAATCAATTAATAATGCATAATAATAATTAATGAATGTAACAAATAATTAATAAATAGATAATATATGAATGAATAAATAAAATAAATAATAAAAATAAATAATAAATAATAAATAAATATATAATAAAACACATTTTTAATAATAAAGTAAATAATAAAAATAAATGAATAGAGGTTAATAAATAAATGAATTTAAATTATTAGAGCAAACGTCCTAAAACATTATTCTGTTACAGTAAAACTTGACAAAAAAACTTCTTCAAATAACTTTTTCTTTGAATGAACACAATGATTTATTTCTATGTTTATTATTATTATAATTTAAATATGTTTTATCTCTGTTCAGTTAAGATGGGATCTGGTTTTCTGAGAAACCAACTTAAATTTGACACACACACACACACACACACACACACACACACACACACACACACACTCGCTCTGACTCAGCTTTCTTGAGTCTAAAAATGTTTCTAAAATGACGAGGTGTTTGGATTTAAAAGATATGATTCTTATTTTTCCTTTCAAAATGAGCCTAAATGATGCAACTTTAACATCTCTGTTTCTCAATCCAAGAAAAGTAATTTCTCAAAAAGTTTGTAGCACATTCCTGGAGTGTTAATGTAGGATTTCTTACATTTTACACTCAAACATGAGCATTTTACTCCTCATTAGAGCTAAAAACAGTTCTGCGTCATACGAGAGCTGCTCGTGTTTCTGCTAAATGATGACAGCAGAAATGTCTCTGTTCAGTCAGGACGTTGTTATTTTACTGTTTTTGTAAAGCAGGATTTAAAGCTGCTGAACTTTAAATGTACAATTGAAACCAGAAGTTTACATACACTAATTAAAAAAGACACATGCATTTTTTTCCACACTGCCTGATGTGAATAAAAAGAAACATCAAAAAGCAGATTAAAGTTTGTAAAAGCACACAGGGACAAAGACCTTCATTTTTGGAGACATATCCTGTGGTCTAACAAAATTAAAACTGAACTGTTTGGCCATAATGACCATCGTTACGTTTGGAGGAAATAGGGGGAAGCTTGCAAGCCTGAGACATCATCCCGACTGTGAAACACGGGGGTGGCAGCATTATGTTGTGGGGCTGTTTTACTGCAGGAGGGAGTGGTGCACTTCACAATATAGATGGCATCATATGAGGAAGGAACATCTCAAGACATCAGCCAGGAAGTTAAAGCTTGGGCGCAAATAGGTCTTCCAAATGGACAATAATGACCTGAAGCATACTGGTTACAAAGTGGCTCATGGACAACAAAGTCAATGTTTTGGAGTGGCCAAAAATCAAGAGTCAAAAATTAATGGACAAAGCTGAAAAAGCATCTGCGACCAAGGCCTCCTACAAACATGGCCCAGTTATACGTTATGTCAGGAGGAATGGGCCAAAATTCCTGAAAACTATTGTGAGAAGCTTGTGGAAGGAGATCCAAAACATTTGACCCAAGTCAGACAGTTTAAGGGCAATGGTACCAAATACTAATGAAGTGTATTTAAACTTTTGACTTTGAAGAAAGTAAAAAAAATTGTCTTAAAAAATTCTCACTCTCATTATTCTGGCATTTTGCAAATAGAAAACAATTTGGTGATCCTAAGTGACCTAAAACGGGAAAAGTTTATTCTGATTTCGCGTCAGTGTGGGGGAAAAAATGCATGTGTTGTTTTAAATGGTGTATGTAAACTTCTGGTTTCACTGTACATCATTTGCAAAGCAGCCTAAGCG